GTACGTAATGTCAGTCCCTTTTGTTGTTGTGGACGACGACGCGATCGACTCATCAAGCTTGCTTTCCATCGAACGGAACGGTTGTCAGACGAGGTGACCAGGGTGGGCGATGCGGCGGTGCTGTTCGATGGCACCAACAGCGGATGCCAGGGCGACTGCGAGCAGTTCAAGGGTCCCGCCTTCAGGTACCTGACGGCCCTCTACCACGCCCTGGCCAAACAGGGCGCCCACGCTCCCACAAGTGGTCCCTCTGGTACCACCCTGGCCCTACATTCTCACATTCTTTTAGATGTATTAACATGTCTGTAACAAAATATAAACTACAGCTGGCCAGATCCACGAGTTCCTGAAGGCCAATGTGGACACAATGTGGGCGAAAGCGCGCAATCCAACGCTCAATCTCTTCTCGGTGGACTGGGCCGGGCCTGCACCCGTGCCCAATCCCTCTGCCCCGGTCTACCAAGCCCAGCAAAACGCGGCCACCATGGCACAACTCCTTTTCGCCTCAAACTTCTGAGGCTCCTTCTCTTGGTATTTAAATGCATTGCTTCACACGTCTTGATCTTGCAGGCCACACCCAGGACTTGGGTGCCATTGAAAATGGGCTTCATAGCTCAAATATTTGGCTTTTACCGGCATCTGCAGCAGGATCGAACAAGGAATTTGAGATATATTATTTATATTAATAATCGTCAAGAGAAACCCTCTGAGGACGCCTCGTCCAGGTCTTCCCTCGATGAACGATGACACGAGCATACCGGCCGCCGGTGGCGGTCGGATGTAGCTCCTCCGGAAGGCGAGAATCGGTCACCGGTGGCACACCCACGTTCGGGTTGGGCTGGAAGAGGCTGCGTGTGTGCATTCACCACACACCACCCCATGTCAGTTTGTGTGCGCCGTGTGTGCGTGCGTGCGTGTGCGTGTGCGTGTGTGGTGCCGCGACAGCTGTACCTGGGATCTGGGCCGACAACCCCGCGGCCCACTGTGTTCCTGTACCACCACGGGCGGGCCGAGCCTGCAAGGCACCCGGGGTGAGTGAGGCAAATGGGAGCGAAGCAGGAAAGCGACGGGCGGGCGGGCGAGTACCGTAGGGCAGGCGCTGCACCATGGAGTACTTCCTCCTCCGGTTGGTCACCTTCGTCTGCGCCTCCCAATCACCGAACACAACCGAGGGGTGCTTGCCCTTGCTCACGTTGGCCCCTTTCGGTTCCTGTGTAGTGTCCGGCACAACAAGACGCACACGCACGACGACACACGACACACGACACGCACGGTGTCAGCGGGCGGTGAAAAGAGCGCCAGAGAGGGGGGGGGTATGTGCCCTGGGATAGTGGTAATCAGAGTCGAAAGAAATGGTGGAGGGCTTGACCCGCGCAACGAGCTCGTTCTCGTCGACCACGCACGCGACCAGCTCCGCCAGGGCGCCTCCGTGGAGGTACAGCCGCAGGGACGGCCCGGTGAGCGCCATGACCGCCTCGAGCTGCTTTCGGTGCCTGTCGTGTCGTTGGTCGTGTCGTGTCGTGTCGTGCGTTGAGTCGTCAGCGTCGCAACACGCCAAAGACCCGGGGCAGATGGCGCGCACCGCTCGGAATAGACTGCGAGCTCGGGCTGGACGCCCGGGTTCCACTTGTTGCTTCCCATCAGCCGCAGCGTCACCTGCAAGCGCGGAGACTCCCGTTCGACTACATACTCCTCTTCCTCCTCCTCTTCATCGTCTTCATCATCATCGTCATCATTGCCGTCGTCATCTTCATCTTCATCATCGTCATCGTCGCCCTTGTCGGCGTTGCGCGCCTTCTGTTGTGATCCAAGTGTCAACCTTCACCGCGCGCGGTGCCGCGATTGAATTGAAAGGCGCGGGGGGGGGGTGTACCAGCTGATCTGTTTGCCGGGCGATCGCGTGTAAGAGCTGTAGAAGTCGTTCGACCAGGGACCGCAGGGACTTGTTGTCGGCCTTGCTGGCCCGCCGGTCCCTCGCCTTGACCATCTCCTCCAGCCGGCTCCGGAGCTGGAACAGCTCGTGCTGCCCGGGCACTGCCGACAGCAGCTCGGCCTCGACGCCGGCCTCGTCGTCGTCGGCGTCGGCGTCGTCGACGACGAAAGTAAGGTCGTCGTGGATGGCGGCGAGGAGGACGAGCAAGGCGTCGGCGCCGGCCAACCGCATCGAGATGTCGTCGTGGCACAAGAAGCCCAGCACGAGCTCCACGTTCCTGTGCGCGCACGAACTGGTGAACGCAGGAACATCGCACACACCGCAACCGCACACGCTGCACACCGCACACGCCGCACGCACACCGCACACAGGGGGACGTACGTGTCGAGCCAGGACGCCAGGTAAGGAGCAGGGAGCAGGGTGCCGAGCAGACCAATGACGGACAGGGCCGTGGCGCGCACGATGGCCGGAGTGCGGTCGTCGGCGCACAGCCGCGTGAAGGTGGTGTCGATCAACTCGATCACGGGGTCTTCATCGTCACCATCACCGCCGGCTCCCTCCGCCGGGTCAGTGCCGTAATAGTGCAGGAAATGCATCACGCCCAGCACATCCACAGCCTGTCGTGTATCGTCGTGAGTTGTAGTGTGTGTGTGTCGTGTGTGTCGTGTGTGTGTGTCGTGTGTGTGTTGCATGCGATGAATGTATGAGCGAAAGAGGCGTAGAGCGTACCGCCGCACGAAGGTCATCAGAGTTCACCACGTCGTGGTGCCCTCCCACTCTCTCTGGCTCGACCTGACTGTCGTCGCCATCGTCGTCGTCGGTGCCGCCGACTAGCGTGTGTCGGGCGAGCACGTCCAGCAGCTTCTCGCGCACGATCGCGCAGCTCTCCTTGGACCACAGAAGCACCAACCCGGCCACCATCACCGCCAGCAGCCGCTCCTCCACGCACCTACTGCTGGCGGAGGCGGCAGCCGCCAAGCTGCGGCGCAGGTGGCCGGCAATGTCGTCGGCGTGGGCCGCGATCAGCCGGTCCACCCCGTCGCGGCACAGCTCGACGCCGAACTCGGCATCGACCGCGGGCGATAGGAATGTGTGCAGGCTGTGGAGCGCGCTCATGCGTCGTCGCTTGCTGGCCGGCACCGAAAGTGAGCGAAAGAGCGAAAGAGAACGAAAGCGATGATTGAGGGGTGATGGTACTCGGTGTGGGCGAGCCAGCCGAGGCACCACTGCACTCGGTCGGCGTGGTCCGAGCCCCAGTCGGCGGGCAGCAGGCCTGCGACTTCCTCACGGGCCGCTCGCCACTCCTCGCCCACCTCCTGCTCCGTTGGTGCCTGAACGAAAATAATTAAATGTAAAAGCTAATAAAATACAACTTAAATGCTATACAATAATGAAATTATTTATAATATATAATTTTTATTTATAATATAGAAATAAAAAAATAATAGGCGTGTAAATGGTACGGGAGGCTTGGGTGGCTCGAGCACGGGCGGCAGGTACACGGCGCCTCGGTCGTACTCGCGCCGGTAGGCCTGCCGCAGCTCTTCCCGCCGTTGGGCTGCCTTCTGCTCGCGCTTGAGGCGCAGCCGGGCGTTCTTCTTGGCGGCTGCCACGGCCTCGCTCGCACGTCGCACCTCCCACCGCGTGAGCTCCTCCTGCAGCCTGGACGCCTGCAGCACACCCACCTCGTCGAGCCCTCCGTTTCGTGCCAGGCACCTCCTTGCCCTCTCCATCTTCCCTTCGTGAACAGCGGTTGTGTCAGACGCTTCACCGAACTTGCGACCCTGAAATTTCCAAGGTCCTTTGCCAAACTGAGCAAAGGTAGTTTTGGCGCCATTTTTCTGCAAGACCGTCACGGCAAACTGAGCAAAGGAGGCGCCCTCGCCACAATCATCCGCTGTGGCCCATCGAAAGAGAGGTAAGAAATGACCTTGCCCGTGCCCTAAGGTCAAAGCGCTCAAGCTCACGTGAGCGTGGTGCTCGACACGCTGAGCAGGACGTCGATTCGACAACGCAGGCCGATTATTGCCCAACAAGCCCTTCCTCGGTGAAGGCAATGACTGCGGTGCAGTCAAGGAGGACACCCCCCAAACAGAGCTGAGCTGCGACCAAGAGGAAGAAGAGCGGAGCGGCCAAGGCCAGCGTGGATCAAGGCTAGACCAGTAAGGGCGATCGATGAAAGTGGGCCACGAGCCTCCTCTGGTTATGGCAACCTGAGCGGCCAGCTTGATGTAAATGGTGGAAAGAACTATGTAAATATGTAAATATGTAAAGATGTAAATATGTAAGGCGTTCCTGTAGTTCTATTGGTAGGGCACACGACACTGGACATTGTCTTACTGGGCGGCAGAGTAAACCCTCTTGGCGCTCTCCAGGGTCTGCTTGAGGAGCATGCACACGGTCATGGGACCCACGCCCCCGGGCACCGGGGTGATGGCACCCGCCACCTCCTTGGCCTCGTTGAAGGCCACATCGCCCACCAGCCGGTAGCCTGCACCATGGTGGTGAGTTGTGTGTGTGCGTGTGTGTGCGTGTGTGTTGTGTGTGTTGTGTGTGTGTGTGTGTGTTGCTAAGGGATTTGGAGATGGCAAGCCGTACCAGCCTTCCTCGAGGCGTCGGGCACGGAGTTGATGCCCACGTCGATGACAGCGGCGCCGGGCTTGACCCAATCGCCCTTGACGTACTCGGGCTGGCCGATGGCCGCAACGACTGAGAGGAGAGAGAAAGAGAAGAACAAGAGTGCTGAGCACTGGAACAGACCAGAGAGATCGTTCTAAGGACCAAGAAAGGGAGCACGTACTGATGTCGGCCTCCCTGCAGATGGCCGCCGGGTCCTTGGTGCGCGAGTGGCAAATGGTGACGGTGGCGTTCCTGTTGGAGGTGGCCACAGAAAACCATCAATGGCCAGCGAGAGAAGCTACTTTTCTACGAAAGCAAAGCCGCGTACTTGTGGAGCAGCATGAGCGCCACGGGCGTGCCGACGATGTTGCTCCTGCCGAGCACCACGGCCCTCTTGCCTTTGCGCAGCCCAAGTGGAGCACATAGAACGTGAGTATATTGACGCGTAAGTACGAGAGCGGCGGATCGACGCAGGAAGAGAGAGGGGGCGAGGGGCAAAGTACCGTCGATGTCAATGTTGTAACGGGCGAGGAGCTCCATGCAAGCGCGAGGCGTGCAGGGCACGGACAGGGGCGTGTGGCCCTTCATCGCCAGCATACCTGTGTATACACGAAAGTGTGCATGAGTGAGTGCTATGTGGGTGCTTCGAACACGCAAGGAATGTGCGCGGTGCGCGAAGCTAGAGGAGGGCCACTGACCAATGTTGAGGGGGTCGAAGCCGTCGGCGTCCTTGGCCAGACCGACCTGCTCGAGCACGGCCTTCTCGTTGATGTGCGAGGGAAGCGGCAGCTGGACGATCAGCCTGTGACCAGAGCAGAAGAAGAGAGGCTCAGCACAAAAAGACGTGGAAGGAAGAAGCAGTGTAGATCACGAACCCGTGCACGCTCTCATCATCGTTAAGCGCACGCACTTCCTTGATGAGCTCCTCCTGCGTGATCTCGGCAGGGAACTTCTTCAGGATGAAGTTAATGCCAACCTCCTCGGCGGCCTTACCTGCACCACAATTCGCAGATGAGTAAAAATTCGATACATCTGATGCTCTCGCGAGAGCATGTAATGTGCCCATGCGCAAGTGAATCTTATGTGAGGGAGGTTGCACCCTTCATGCGGACGTAGGTTTCAGAATCCTTCCTCGCGCCGACCAGGACCACGCCAAGGCCGGGCACCTTGCCAGTCCGCTCCTTAAGTTCGGCGACCTCCTTCTTCAGCTCCTCACGGATCGTGGCCGCAGTCGCATTGCCGTCGATGATCGTCGCCATGGTGCTGTGCTTCTACACAAAATCTGTCTCACTTTTGTTTTGTATTTTGTTTTATTTATTTTCGGGCCGATGAAGGGGGATCAGGGAGAGGCGGTGTAGGCGGGGTTGTCGGTCATGCACATCTCGCACGAGGGGCGGTTGAAGCGGTTGAGGTAGGTGCACGCCGGACAGGCCCACTGGGGCGCAGTCTCGGGAGCCGGCATCGCAGCAGACCCGACTGCCCGCCCTTGTTCAGCAGCTCCACTCGGCGCAGGCGCGGCTGGCCCTGTAGGCGCCGCGTGCTGCCTCGCTTCTTCGCTTCGCTGTCTTTCTGTTTCTCTTTCTCGTTTTCGCTGCTGTTGCTGTTGCTTTGTGGCTTCGGGTTGCCGTTGATGTGACGGAGCGTGTGTGTCGCGGCTGCCGGCGGAGGCGGCGGCGGCCGTTGTCTGCG